TACTCATTTACCTTGACAATCTAGAAGATGGCTGAAGATTTAGTTGCTCGACCATGTGGATGTGTAAAGCAAGGGAAGGCTGCCACAATTTGTCTCTAGAAACTCTAAACGGAAGTTAAACTCTGTATTAGCTATGAAATAATCAAGTAACAGAAAGTGTATTGATCGGCACTCATAGAAAGAAGTAGAAAGGTAGAAGAACACACTAGACAACATAAACATCGAAAGCTATAGTTAACGTGCCGGGAATTGAACCTGTCACCTCCAGACGGCGTGTGCGCCTCGTCATGGACAAGTGCGCTAAGAACATGGTCAACTAGGCACCGCCTAGGCCATCTTCTGGAGGTGACAGGTTCAATTCCCGGCACGGTAACTGTAGCTTTCGGTGTTTATGTTGTCTAGTGTGTTCTTATACCTTTCTACTTCTTTCTATGAGTGTCGATCAATCATCATCATCATCAGGTGCCTTGTCGACTGGCATGGGCGATCATGCCTCTCCATAAATCTCCTGCAGCATGTATTCAGTTCGTGTACTCCATGACATGCAACAAGACTGTCAAGCTCTTTCTCTCTCGTTGTCAGTCCACAGATCTTGCCAGTGTCACAACATGTTCTATTTCCCTCTTCTCATAACATGGCCGAAAATGAATGACTGTACTCCTTCTGATGTCAGTGATAAGTTGGTCCTTCGGGCTCCCCGCCTCTTTTTAAAACCCTTTTGGTTGGCTCTTTTTGGCTGTCCAAGGTATTCTAAGCATTCTTCTGTAAAACACATCTCTGAGCCTCTAAAAAGCCTACCGATTGTCCGGATTCACATCCATATGTTAAAACCTGGATGTATAGTAGCAAGCAAGAATTCTTTTTTCTAACTCTGAGATGACAAGGATATATTGCACAAGATTTCATTTTATAAAATGCGTTTTTGCCTGCAAATTCTGTTCTTATTTCAGTTATTGCATCTTCCAGAGCGATGTTATTCTGCCCAGATACCTAAATTTCTTGTACTTGTCTTAAAATAACACCATTGACTTTTATTACACATCTTAGGTAATTTGTTACTTTGATACCAACCATTACTTATGTTTCATTATTTGCCCATTCTTCCACTTTTAACACCACTAGATCATTTTGTATCTTTCTGACTTGTTGCTATCAAGACTGTTTCATCAGCATTTACGTAAATTGTTTTTATTGTGCCCACCAACCACAATTCCGGGCATATCAAATTAAAGATCTCATAATATATTCACTGTATATTTGAAAAAAATCAGGTGAAGTACACATCCTTGTCGTATGCCCATCTTTATGCTTTGAAATGTACCTAAACAGTTGTTAATTCTTATAGCTGCTGTTTGCTGCCAATACTATTCTTTATTATCTTAGATCTTTCCCATCGATGTTTTCTAACAGTTTGATTACTCATGCTTCACACAGTCAAATGCTTTTGTATAGTCTATGAAGCATAAGTACAAATCAGTCTTTACTTCTATAGCTCTTTCTGACAATGTCCTTAATATGTATATGGCATTGTTTGTACCGATCAATACACTTTCAGTTACTTGATTGATTCATATTATTTAACGACCTCAAAGGTTCCCCCTCTGTTTATTATTAGCTATGAAAGTACATAGGGCTGGAGAATAGGCTAGAGAAAGAGTTACTTTCGGGCGGGCCGTGATCAGAGCGATGTTTTGTAAAGGACCCACTGATTGATAATAATTTACTTGCAAATTGTTTCTTGTTCCACTTCCTAGAATGTATGTTTTTGATTGACAGTGAAAAGTAAACGGTGACAACATGGCAGACGAGAGCTTCAAGGGCAAGGTCGCTCTGGTGACCGGGTCAACCACTGGAATTGGTCGAGCCATCGCCCATGGACTTGCCAAGAAGGGCAGCTCGGTTGTGTTGACAGGGCTGAGGGACGCCAGAGGAGATAGAAGCCTTGTTGAACGAATTTAGATCGTAAGTCAGATCAACAAATATACTTTCCTATAGAACTGACAACAACAAAGAAAAGATTCCAGAAAATTAATCAATACGACATAATGACACTTTTCTTTTTTAATTCTTCAAAATCATAATTCACAATTCTTAAACAAATCTTTAAAAACAGTGTTCTCTCTCTCTCTCTCTCTATATATATATATATATATATATATCTCTAGATATATATATATATATATATATATATATATATATACACACACACACAAATATATACATACATATATATAATCAGCTTCTTTTTGCAATACATACAATAACTCGAATAGTGTTTTTAATTTTCGGAATATTTTTCAACCACATTACATTTCCCTCCGCAAAATTTGAAATTGATAGCTTATCAGGAAATAGTGTTAAAAAAAACGAATGCAAAGTTTTACCCAGACAAACAAACAAAATAATCAAGCCTAATAAAAGCTTTTAAATCATAGATACAGGCAAAAGATTGACAGTGAAAATTGAATGTTTGTTGCAGGCAGTACAAGGGAAGTTTTAACTTTGTTGCCGGTGACTTCACTGACACTGAGAAAACGGAGAAGTTTGCCGAGGATGTCTTGGCTCTCTACCCACAGGGAGTGGACATCCTTGTAAACAACGCAGGTATGTAACACCTGATAACCCACCCTAGGATTTCGTTTCGGTCAATACTAACATATATCTATGTACTCTTTTCCAGTCTCCTGTCATATTTCTCGCGAGATGTGTCTTTTTCTTTTCTGACTGTGTTAACCCTCAAATACGTCGTGTTGTGAGTTTACGGATAGGCTAAGATATCTGCGCCTATCGTGCTCCAGATGGGACGAGAGTGTGAGGTAATAGACCCACTTGCCTTTAAACAAGCATGTCATAAAAGGCGATCTAATTAAATTTTTTTTTTTTAATTTGTGAAAATAATACCTCATCAAAACTGCCTTTACATGGTACTATTGTGAACCACAAGGAAAAAACTTCACAACTACAACAATGACTACTATCATCAGCCCCATTGTTGTAGTCTTCTTCTTCTTCTTCTTCACTTCCTCTTTTACCGCTGTGGGTGTCGAGGGAGATATAATGTTCTGTTTCTAGCTCTTCTGGCTGCCCTGACCATAGGCACATCGTGCTGTTGTAGAGTTTCTCTGATGTTATCCTTCCATCTTGTTCTTGGTCTACCCCGTGCTCTACGTCCTTCTTCTCTTTCCATGTATGCTTTGTATGGAATGGTGTCACAAGGCATTCTCTCTAAGTGGGCAAACCATTTCACTTGCTGTCTTTGTATGTAATCCAGAATTGGTTCTGTGCCGACTTGTTCTCTTATGATCTCATTCCTGATCTTATCTCTTATGGTCACTCCTACAGCCCTTCTCAGACATCTCATTTCCGTGGTTACTAATTTTCTTTTATGGTTTGTTGTGAGTGACCATGTCTGGCACTGGTAGACCAGAGTTGGAATAAATATGCTTTGAATAAGATGTCTCTTTGTGCTGATTGGGATTGTATTATGCTGTAAGAGTGTAGCTAGCTGTCCCAATACTTGGTTTGCTTTACTGCATCTAATGTCAATTTCTTTATCCAATTTCCCATCTTCGGTAAATGTAGTTCCCAGATATTTAAACTCAGATGCCTGTTTAATGCCATTGTTGTAGTAACTTTTTCTATACATACTTCTAGTACGACTAGTTGTGCGTTCACCACAACTATTGTTGCTTATCTATGTACAACAAAAACGACGAAGACAACTTCTACTACTAACCCCCCGCCCCCCCCCCCCCCCCCGCACTACCCCACATACCCCCTAATCGCGACTATAACTACGATTACTGCTATCGCCACTATAACTACGATTACTGCTGCTGCCATTATTAGTACTACTACTACTACTACTACTACTACTACTACTACTACTACTACTACTACTACTACTACTACTACTACTACTACTACTACTACTACTACTACTACTACTACTACTACTACTACTACTACTACTACTACTACTACTACTACTACTACTACTACTACTACTACTACTACTACTACTACTACTACTACTACTACTACTACTACTACTACTACTACTACTACTACTGATGCTGCTGCTGCTGCTACAATTGTAGTATTTCGTGATGTAAGTAACACCGACATCCTACATCAGGGCTATTCAACTACGTTCACTCAGGAGCCATTATTTAGAAAATAGGGATCCTCACGGGTCGAATACCCGAGTTCCAGCAACGAAAGTTCATTAATAATACAATACAATTGGCAGTGATCCGCGTGCCATTTCCTAGACCTCCACGAGCCGCCATTAGAATAGTCCTGCCCTACATGAGCAGAATATGGAAGAGAATCGGCTCATAAACAGCATCCTGGAAATCTGGGATATTTTAACTATAGCAAAGGTCACGGTGGCCCGAAGAGAACTGTGATGGATGGTACAGTTTCCGGGAAACAAGACAGGCAGACTTCCGTGAACGTAGATACAGGATATTAAAGATGCAATGGTTATGAAAGCACATAGGGCTGGAGAATTTCCTAGAGAAAGAGAGACTTTCAAGCGTGTCGTGATGAGAGCGACCTTCTGTAAAGGACCTGCTGATTGATAATGATGACAAAGATGGTGACGATGATGATGCTGATGATGATGACGATGATGGTGATGATGACGATGATGGTGACGATGATGAGGAAGATGATGATGACGATGATGAGGATGATGATGATGAGGACGATGATGGTGATGGTGTTGATTATGATTGTGATGATGATGACAACTACGACGAGGATGATGATGATGATGTTGACGATGATGATGATGATGATGATGGTGATGATTATGATGATGATGATGACGACGATGATGATGATGACGACGACGATGATGACAGTGATTATGAAAGTCATCCTGACTGCTAGAGTGTTGGCACACAGAGAATCCAGTCTCTCTAACTGCTTCCTGCCATCTTCCACGCCCAGGTCTGCTCGGGGAGGCCCCAATAGAAGAACTGACCACCAAGATGTGGCTGGACACGGTGGCCGTCAACTTGACCGCTCCTTTCATTCTGACCCGAGCCTTCTTTCCACTCATGAAGAAGAAACGTAGGTAGTGCTGTGTGTGGTGTATGTGTGTGTTGGACAGACAGACAGACAGACAGACAGACAGACAGACAGACAGACAGACAGACAGACAGACAGACAGACAGACAGACAGACAGACAGACAGACAGACAGACAGACAGACAGACAGACAGACAGACAGACAGACAGACAGACAGACAGACAGACAGACAGACAGACAGGACTAGAAAGGATAATAACAGCTACAATCACCATTATTCCGAAAATACAAATCACCATTATTCCTCTTGATACCAATCACCATTATCCACAAGCTGCCAATCACCACTATCCTCAAAATGCCAATCACCATTATGTTCAAAATACTAATCACGAATTATAATCAAGATAAAATCACTATTATCTACGAGACACAAATCACCATTACCCCCCAGGAACAAATGACTATTACTTCCAAGACATGAATCACCATCTCTCTCCCCCCCCCCCCCCTAGATATGAATCACCAATATCCTCAAGATACGAATGACCATTGTATTCAACAAACAAATCACCCGTGTCATCAAGATACAAATCACCATTATCCTCAAATTATGAAGCACCATTATTATCAAGATCACCATTAGCATCAAAATATCTTCTTCTGAAATTGGGCTGTAAAGAATCTTCGCGTCACTTAGGCGCATTTCGTTAATCTCCTTCCAGTTAACCACTTGTAACAGTGTCTACCTTTTGCCTGCTAGCCCTCTATTTTCTTTCCATTATATGGTTTTACAAGGAGATCAGAAAAGCTATACCTCAGGATCGACACAAAGAAAACATCTTGGAAGACGCCCCCCCCCCTCAAGCACCTTTCCAGCCCCTTCCCAAAATGTTTTTCCAAGGGACCCTAAGCGGTCTATGCCTTGGTTAAGTATGTTATAATAATAATAATAATAATTAGTAAGAATAATAATAATAATAATAATAATAATAATAATAATAATAATAATAATTTTAATAATAATAATAATAATAATGTGCGGATTGGCAAATAAACAGAATAATATATTTGTTATAATATAAAATGTATAAAGAAATTATTAAAACGACTCTGTCTAGAATTGATCTTGCGGCGGCAGAGCATCTTTACAAATTTGTTTAGGTGAAGCCCCCACCCCTCCCCCTCTAACAGTTGTATGTTGGGGGAGGAGGGGATGGCTCAAGCTGTATAAGCCGACGCCATTAAATCGTTCTATAATAACATTAGTGCCTCATGATGTTGTTGTGTGGTTTTGTTGTTGCTACCAGGTTGGGGACGCATCATTAACATTGCCTCACAAATGGGTTTGATTAGTGACCCAGGGAACCTGGTCTACTGCTCTACCAAAGCTGGCCTGTTGGGATTTTCTCGGGTATGGCAGTTACGTTGTCTATTTTCACATTTGTTCTGTGTAACATTGACTACTTTCACATTAACCGTGTATATAGTTGTTGCTATGTTCCCGCGTATACTTTTGAGTGTTGGTAAATGGGTATACATAAACTACTTTATTGTTACAAGCCAATTTAACTATTTCGGTCACATGAAGAGAAGTAGCACTCTTTTAAAAAGCTCACTGGATGGCAAAGTCAAGGGCAAGGGAGCACGAGGTAGACAATGATGAAATTGGGAGGACAACATCTAGAGCTAGACAAACAGCAGTATGAGTTTGTACAACCAAGACAAGAGAGAGAGAGAGAGAGAGAGAGAGAGAGAGAGAGAGAGAGAGAGAGAGAGAGAGAGAGAGAGAGAGAGAGAGAGTGGTGGAGATACATGGCAGTCAACCTTTACTGTAGACGTGGCACTTGATTGATTGTTACAATGAGGAGGTGGTGGCCAAGTAGAACACTGAACTCTCATGCGCAAAACTCAGGTTCGATTCTTGGCAATGGATGGAGACTTTTCTGTGGGAGGCAAAAATTAAAATTCTAACCTGCGCAGGTTGTGGCAACTGCACGAGCGATGCGGCCTTAAATCGTTAGACTCAAGATCTCCCGGTTCATCATCGGCGACAGGATCGCCTATTGGCTCAGGATACGGATCGGTCGGTCGAAAGAGTATTTTTGTCTGTCGCCTTTGATGGCATGAACACTCATGGAGTCCTTTTCAGGACTCTTGCTGATGTGCAAGGCTAAGTCATTTAATATGGCGCACATAACCTGGTCACAATTGTAACCAAAAGCTGACTCTTTGGGGATGCTGGTGGAATGTGGAGATTTGTTGTGTTTTTTCCTCCAGCAAGACACCTACGTACCTACACCTATCTCCCTGCCAGACACCGCCATACCAAGTTTCTACAATCAGTCAACAGGTCCTATACAGAACGTCTCTCTCGTCACACCTGGCCTGAAAGTCTCTCTTTCTCTAGCCAATTCTCTAGCCCTTTGTGCTTTCATAGCCATTGCATCCGCAATGTTTTGTCTCCAGCATTTGCAAAGGTTTGCCTCTGCCTCGTGTTCCGGAAACTGCGCCCTCCATCACCGTTCTCTCTAGGCCACCAAACGTTTAACGTGGTCAAAATTTGGGATTGGGTGCTGTTTATGAGCCAGTTCTCCTCAGTGTTGAGACTGTGTTTGCTGTCAGTGTTTGAAGAGTGGTACACGTTTTTATTTCTTTAGTTTTGAATAGTCTACAATAGTGATCGTGTGAGATGTCGAAGACTGATAGTCAACTTTTATCTGCACAGTACTTTACGACGATAATGATATTGCTTAATTTCTATTGGCTTTTATCATAGTTGTAGACGGTCCTATGGATTCTTGAGATTGCTGGGAGTTTTTTTTTTTTTTGGTCGCATTCGACCAGTTCCTAATCTCGTTTTTATGTTCGTTCAATGTGTAAAATAATGCTGCTGAGCAGTTGATCTAACATTACCATCTGTTACCATAGAGCTCATTTTTCTTCAGGTGGCCGCCATTGAGGGAGCGAGGTTTGGGATCACGTGCAATGCCGTTTGTCCAGGATACACAGATGCACCAAGTAAATATTTACAAGTCAAATATGCTGTTGTTGTTCTCCTCCTCCTCTTTCTTCTTCTTCTTCTTCTTCTTCTTCTTCTTCTTCTTCTTCTTCTTCTTCTTCTTCTTCTTCTTCTTCTTCTTCTTCTTCTTCTTCTTCTTCTTCTTCTTCTTCTTCTTCTTCTTCTTCTTTTTCTTCTTCTTCTCTGTCAACAGCTACAAGACACAGCTATATTTTTCATGTATTCTGAGAGGAGGCAAACAAAGAACCACCAGGCATTGAAATGGGAAACATAGGGATTAAGGAAATCATTAGAGGATAATGAGAAAGCCAACTGTTACACTTATCATAATGATTATTAATATTATATTGTTATGTTGTAAAACACTTGTCCCCTTTTTTTCATGTGTTTAATATTGTTGTGGCCATTGTCGTTTGCGATTATTTCAGAATTATGACATAAACAACATACCGCATTTAACAACTAGCATATTTCATTGTATCAAGTCGGATAAAGTTTACCTTAACATATAGTGAAGCATAAGACTTACTTTTTAAAAATGGCATTCAAGAATCGCATCGTCTTTTGTCAAACAGTACAACTCGCTATGTGCTTGAATTACGGTTATCCTGATAAAAGTTGCATCAGGCAGTAGAATGTCCTTTGCAGAACCTTGCTCCTATAACAACCCTCTGGAAAACTTCTCGATCACAAGCAAGATGTCCCGCGTCCCATACACCCATCTGGAGATCGCCTGGCACATCTTGCAGCCATCTTCTGTTTGGCCTTCCTCTTCCTCTCTTCCCTGGCATATACCCCTGTTGCATGAATACTTTGATGAAGGGGAGGACAGATTTGAAATGGACGAGTTGTTAAACGGGCGACCTTTTAATAAAGAAAGTTGTTATTTTCGTTCGGTTATTCTGTAAATTTTGATAGCAGTCAATATATTGACGTTTGTGCTCTCTGTGAAGATCCATGATATAACGTTTGTTTTCGCCTTTGTATGTCGATACAGGAACGCTTATTTTTGTCTATGTCTGTCCATACAGTGATGTTTGTTTTTGTCTATGTCTGTCGATACAGGGATGTTAGTTTTTGTCTATGTCTATCGATACAGGAACGTTTGTTTTTGTCTACGTCTATCGATACAGGGATGTTTGTTTTTGTCTACGTCTATCGATACAGGGATGTTTGTTTTTGTCTACGTCTATCGATACAGGAACGTTTGTTTTTGTCTACGTCTATCGATACAGGGATGTTTGTTTTTGTCTACGTCTATCGATACAGGGATGTTTGTTTTTGTCTACGTCTATCGATACAGGGATGTTTGTTTTTGTCTACGTCTATCGATACAGGGGATTGTTTGTTTTGTCCCTACGTCTATCGATACAGGGATGTTTGTTTTTGTCTACGTCTATCGATACAGGGATGTTTGTTTTTGTCTACGTCTATCGATACAGGGATGTTTGTTTTTGTCTACGTCTATCGATACAGGGATGTTTGTTTTTGTCTACGTCTATCGATACAGGGATGTTTGTTTTTGTCTACGTCTATCGATACAGGGATGTTTGTTTTTGTCTACGTCTATCGATACAGGGATGTTTGTTTTTGTCTACGTCTATCGATACAGGGATGTTTGTTTTTGTCTACGTCTATCGATACAGGGATGTTTGTTTTTGTCTACGTCTATCGATACAGGGATGTTTGTTTTTGTCTACGTCTATCGATACAGGGATGTTTGTTTTTGTCTACGTCTATCGATACAGGGATGTTTGTTTTTGTCTACGTCTATCGATACAGGGACGCTGTTTTTCATCTATGTCCCCGATTTTCTTCATGGCTGTGTAGAAGACCTGCGATGTGTAGAAGATGTTTGATGTGTAGAAGACCTGCGATGTGTAGAAGATGTTTGATGTGTAGAAGACCTGCGATGTGTAGAAGATGTTTGATGTGTAGAAGACCTGCGATGTGTAGAAGATGTTTGATGTGTAGAAGATCTTTGATGTGTAGGAAATCATTGATGTGTATGTTCCTTTGGATGTTTACAGTGAGTCTGGGCATCGTGAAGCGAGAAGCTGCAGAGAAAGGGATCTCCTATGAAAAAGCTAAGGTAAGACAGAGACGAATGTGAGTTAACTGTGTGTCTATCCTCTCCTATAGCTGGCATAAGCGACTATGGCTGTCAGTGAAAGGAGAGTTCGGCATGTTGTTGGTCAAGTTTACATTACAATGATGAGTATGTGAAAATGATAAGGAGTTTATGATAATGGTGATGATAATTCTAATGAATATTATGATCCTGGTGTTGATGTTGAGGATGGTGATCTCGTGGTGGTAGCAGTGATGACAATGATGGCGGTAGTGTCGACAGCAGTGATTTTGATGGTAATAATGAGAACTGTTTGCACAATCTGATGATGAGGTTTTCAGTTT